ATACATGTACATCTACACATCACTTCAATCATAACTTTTTTTCTGACCGATGATCTAAAAAAAAAAAAATAACTATAATTAGGCATATACATGTACATGTAGCAAGGGGGTTATAATGGGGGATCCTTGCCTCTTTTCCGGAGCATCATTTGTTATGTTTATTGAAAGCCACCCCTCCCCCACTTTTCGTTGTGTGTAGTCAAATAAGGGTAATGTGGAATTGTATGGATAAAATTTGACTATGAAAAGAAGTTGGAACCTAACCCAACCTCCACCCCCTTGGTGCACGAAATGAGATTTCTGAGTTTGGAAATTTTTCATTTTTTACTTTTGCTTGTCAAGTATTTTAGGTATAAGATGATATTTTTTTTCTCTGGTTGCCAACCCCCCCCCCCCCCCCCCAAATTTCAAAACGACGAGCAGGAGCGGCGCTACGTCCATGATATTCTATTTTTTTTGTAAGCTCACTGATCAGTTGATTGGGTTTATTTATATTTTTATTGAAATCCATTGGGCACATTTTTAAAAAGTCGAATTCTTAAATTATATTTCATAGATAAATGTCGGAGTGATGAGACTCACCATGGGCACACTGAAATATCAACGGGGAACATTACTGCCAATAGAAGTCTTCCCTAGCAATACAGAAATGGAAGTCCTAAAGGTGGCAACAGACAAGCATCATAAAAACAATAAAATGCTTCCAACAGAGGAATACATTCTGTTATATAAAGATGGATCCAGGGCTTGTAGTATACCGGGTGCAACAAATGTTTTTACTGTCCGAGGGTATAAAGATTTTCTAGGAAAGCCATTCCAGAATATGCAATTGTACATTTGCCCGAAAACAGAATTTGAATCAAGTAAGTTATTTCGAGCTAGTTCGGGGATGGTCTATATTTTCATCCAGAGTCACTTTTTTCCTGTTATATAATAATAAATATCATTAAATGCATTATCATATTCTCCAGATGTATCGAACAGCAGCGATTCTGATGACCTCCCAGATCCAAAACTGAATAACAAAAATGAGGTAAGAACTACAGTATATTACACTTATACAGAGGCTGACAAATAGATTTTTAAGGCAATTGCCCAAGGGCAAGTACATGGTCAAAATTGACTTGCCTTACCTGAATTTTTGCCTGCCCTACCATTAGCTTATAAATACTGTATTTATAAATATTTCAAAAAAGAGAAAGACAAATACTGAGTAAAATATTGGCATACATATTGATTTTATTTTTGATAATTGATTAAGTCACTTGCCCACGGGCAAATGGTTGATAAAATTTTACTTGGCCAATCCTAAAATTCACTAGCCCCGGGCGTCGGGCAATGGGATTTGTCATCCCCTGATCTTATAGGTCTATTTTTATTTTGTTTATATTTTTATACATATGTACATGTATATGTATACTTTCGGTTGAAGGTAGGTGACGATTCATGGGAGGAGCTCGGAACACCAGAAATACTAAAACGTAAAAGGCCAGCTACAAAATCAAGGAATCGTGCACCTGAAAGAGAGACCCAAAATATAGATTCTGTAAATCCAGCACCAAAACCAGAGAATCGAGTACTTGATGCAGAAACGAGAGTAATAAAACAAGAAAACGACAGAATGGAGCAACCCTCAACCTACAGGTCTTTATACACATCTAATACCTTACAGTAACATAAAATTAGTGGGGGGAGGGCATATGTAGGTGGGGCTTAGTGGGTCTCAGTATTCCAGATGAGTAGATTTTTAGCGAAGGATTTGGCTGTGCTGCAATAAAATTACATGGCAATTTCTAGGCACATTTAAAACTACAAAAGAAACTCAATCTCTAAGAAAAAAAATGATTATGATACTAAGTCCTGTTTAAATGACAATTTAGTTACAGTGAATAAATAACGTGATTTTTTTTTTTACATTTTAGCGAGTATATTACAATTATATCAGATGGTTCAGATCAGGAAGAAGATCTTAATCCACCAAGTCCTTCTGAGGCAAAAAATACGCAAACAGTGGATATGGCTTGCAGGTGGAGTATTCTCATATTTCATTCAATAATTTGAAACTAAGAAACCGAGAAAGTACACTTTGATAAAGCTTGGAACATCATGAATTTAAAACCAAAGGGTCTTATTTTTTCAGTTCTCAACCCCCGCGATCAACTGTGGAAATTCTCCAGGAACTTTCTCTGCAAATTCAATCAAATGACATCTCTCGATTTAACATAAACAGGAGAAATGTGTGGGACGGGGCTTGTAGGGGCTTTAGAAGGTCTACATTTGCACCAAACAACATCTTGCTCGTTAAATTTACTGATGATACTGGATTGTCAGAGGAGGCGGTAGATCAAGGCGGACCACGACGCGAGTTTCTCCGTCTTCTAATGGATGCACTACAGAACAGCACTTTGTTCGAAGGTCCCACGACGTCCAGGATTCTTACCTTGAATAGCCATGGTAAGAAAGATTATGATAATATTCACAGAGCAATTTAATGACATAAAGGTAATGTCCATGTACTAACATTAATATACTATCTTTTCACTAGCTATACAACGGGACAAATATTATCTGGCTGGTGTTATGGTTGCCATTGATCTAGTACATGGAGGTCCACCTCCAATGTTTTTTTCAAAACTATTGTTCGATATGCTAGTGTTTGGTCCGGAAAATGTACATCCTACGATTGAGGATATCCCCGAATCTGAATTCAAACAATCACTCAACTCGGTATAGTATAAAATTTAGTTTCGTACAATTTAATGCATTTAAAATTTCATAGTAAAATAATACCTTTAATTTTTTATATATATAAAATGTTTAATACTATTTTAATAAGCTAAATTATTTACCCATTCATTTATCACGATTCTTCAGATACTGCAAGCAGATACGCTGAAAAATTTAAGAAGTTCAATGGAAGCCAACAGCAGCACTTTGACTTTAGCGGGATGTTTCCACCACGTACGATCGATCGAGGACAAAGTGCCACTAATCAGAGATATGATCAAATGGTACTGTCTTGAGAGGACACGTACGGCATTTGACAGGTATTCTTTTTTTTTTACTTTTTTTACTTTAACTTAAATCTATTATACTTATATATTAATTATAGTAACCCGGCAAAATAACAAATCGAGGGATTAATCTACTAGTAATTATTTTTTTATGTTTCCGATTCATTTGCAGGTATCTAATAGTATAAAATTTATTTTTTACTGGTTAGATTTAAGTCTGGATTACAAACCCTGGGTGTGCTGGCCACCATTCAGTCATATCCAGAGAGTTTTAGAGATTGCCTAATGTTCACCAACATCAAACTGACGGCGATATCGATGGAGGATATTTTCCGTCCATGTGTCAGTCCCACCGGAAGTAACCGGAGAACAGTCGAGGACAGACTGGTTGGATATTGGCGGGACTTTTTACAAGATGCAGAGGGTACTGGGCATTGTTTAATTTTTCTATGAAAATAACTTTCTGTAGAGAGAAATTGTATACGTATTTAATGGTTATTTCCAATTATTCAATGAAAATTATATTGAAACTATTTTTTCCCAGTAAAAAAATATGAAAATGCAATTTTTTAAATTTACATATAATTTGCTTTTACAGAGGGAGCCACTGTGGTGACTTTGGAGCACTTATTGATTTTTGCAACTGGAACAAACAGAGTGCCGCCACTCGGACTCAGTCCTTCTCCTGTTCTGTCGTTTCTACACGAAGAGGAGGGGGGAGGAAAGTTCCCCATTGCTAATACCTGTGGGAATGAATTGAAAATTCCAATTCATCCATCTTTTGAAATGTTCAAGGAAAATATGGAATTCGGAATTTTAAATGCCCCAAATTTTGGTCGAGCATAGTTTAATTGCATGGTCATTACATGAGAACAGACACGCCTAAATTTCAAATTAATTTTCCTGATAAAAAAATTCTGAATCATTTTTTATGGGTATTTTTTTTTTTTACATTAATCAAAATTACATTTTAAAACCATGTTTATAAGGTAAATCTACGCTTAATACAATTCTAATATCTGACTTAATCTGTCCTCATATTGTAGTCTTTATTTGCTTGTGTACATCTATTATTAAGACCTACGTACATATTTGCATAAATTTGATATGTAAATATATCATTTGTAGTCTGTGTAAATTTTAGAAGCTCAATTAAACTGGGAAAAGTAGATTGCTCCATGAAATCTCTATATCAGTCAGCCACAAGAATGTAGAGGGAGAGGGTGCATTTCTACGTGTTTATGCCATTATCAAATACGTGTTACATGTATGACAAATAAAGCCATGTTAATTTGCATTCATTGATTTTATTTTCATTGTTTTATATGTCACTTCTTCCGGTTTACACGCTCTGCTTTTGCAGCTGCTTTGAAGCAGAGCTGCAAAAGAAGAGCGTGTAAAAAGGGGTTTTGCATTGCAGGCATGCAAGCAGACAGAATAGAACTTGCCCTATTTCAGTCTGCAAAGCAGACGTAACTGACCATTCTGGTATGAAACTGTATGGCTTTAAAGTGAGAGCAGGCAAGGTAAGCAGCTGGTGTAAACTCTCTGTCTGCTTTGCAGAGTAAAATGCAGACCAAAAATGCAGCTGCAAAAGCAGAGCGTGTAAACCGGGCTTTAGACATTTATATTGCAAAAATGAAAACTTGAACAACTTGTAGGTATTACTCGCCAGATATGTGCATTAACTCAAGGTAATTCTGTAATGCGCTTTCAACATCAGTCGCAGTTCTCCAATGAATTCTTGATTTTACTAGGTTAAAATATTCATAAACTTCAGAATCGTCACAGATAGACTTAGATTTCGTGTTTTGTCGGAGATGTTCGATTTCCTGTGCAGTGACGGGCCTTTTAAAGTTGCATTTAGAATAAAGTTCTGGTAGGAAAAAAATTTCGTTTGGAATTCCAGCCGGACAAGACCCGGTATTTGGTCTTATTCTGTGACAATTCCATGCCATTGCAGTTTCATTCAACTGCCTTTGGATGAAGTCCATGAAACAGTATTGAAAACATGAACGTTGGAATTTATTATCTGGATTATAAATTCCAAAGTCATAGATGTCCGAAAAATAGTCCATCCACCACTGTGCTCTGTTCCTTTTAAAATAACTCCACCAAGCTTCTATTCTTTGATTTCTTACTGACGTCACATAGGAATGACTAGAAGGATCATTGGTAAATATTGTCTGAATTGTAGCTAGAATACCATTTTCAGTGCCTGGGTCTGTTCGAAGATTTCTAGGACATCCTTGCAATTGTTCGACACAATTAAGAAAATATTCCCCAATTACGGCCGGGTCGCTGTTAGATGCAGCCACCTCTAACCAAAGAACTCGTCTTGAAAATCCGTCAATTGCACCGTGAATGGCAAACCCATATGGTTTTAACTTGTCAAAGCCATCAATATGCCATGTAAAATTGGGGCCATTACTTACATAGACACGCCTTTGAAGACGGCGTCTGATTCTTCTTACACTTCCCTCGGGATTCAATCTTTGTAATAGCCGCATTACTGTATTCTTAGAAACACACAACTGATACTTAAACTTCAACAATTTCCACATTTCTCTGTAACCCACATTTCCGCTGGGTCCACTCAACTCTAATCTAATTTTTTCTTCTACAGTTCCTATCGGACTTGGGTTTTTTCTCCGAAACAAGTTAAATGATTTAAGCCTTCTTTTAAGAGTCCTTAAACTCCATTTAAAACCATGATACGTGGTCAGAAACATCAGTATTATATCGTAAGAATATCCTTCTGACATATACGCACTGAGTAATTCCTCTTCAGTCTCATAATTTCTTAAGTGTGGAGCCAAAGGTAAAACAGCAAAGTTTCTTTTTGTAAAGCATAGAACAAGGAAGGTCGTCAAAATAAAGCTCACCTAAAACATGAAAAATATATGAGCAGAAAAAACTTCATTAAATTATTCAATAGATTACATGTATGCGCTCTTTTGCAAAGTTATACGACTCATTGATACATTGTGTATGAACATGATGAAATATAGATAAAGAGTATTAAATAATACATACCATTATGCTGCTTCTGTGAAGTGAACGTAATTACAGGAGTGGTATTACTGGTTTCTCCCCTGCCTGGGGTTAATCTGTATATCATTTGATCGAGATCTGTGGGATACGGATCACGTGATGGAAAATTTTCCCTTTATATATATCGCATTTCTCTTTATATATATCGAGTTTTTGTTTATATATATCGCATTTCTCTTTATATATATCGAGGTTCTGTTTATATATATCGCATTTTCTTTATATATATTGAGGTTCTGTTTATATATATCGCATTTTCTTTATATATATCGAGGTTTTGTTTGTATATATTGCGTTTTCTTTATATATAGAGGTTTGCTTATATATATTGCTTTTCCTTTATATATAGAGGTTGGCACTAATGGGCTTCCGTACAGTTCAACTAAAGAATCAAAGATTACACCTGCAGTGGTACCATAAAACGTTTGATATATTTAAATTGTTTTCATAAAAAACATAATTCTTTTTATGTAAACCCACTGACAATAGTTTAACTCTGTTTGATATGAAGAAACAAAATTAAGATTAAGTGAATTGAAAAATGCCATTTAATTACATTATAAATGACTGTATGAAAAAACACAAAATATCATGCATATAAACATATAATGCAGAATCAGAAAAATTGAACAATTGAAAATATAATCAATTTTGTTTCAATAGATATCAAAGGTGGGGTATAAAAATTCGCAAACACCACAATCGTACATATTTTTAGCAAACTAAAACATAATCATGACAAACTATTCTAAAAGAACATGTATCATAAAAAACCAATCAAAGATAACTATGCTGACACGGCAATAATTACAGATGGTGTTGGGGCGGGACGGAGGGCAATTAAAATTACAGCAGAATTTTTGTTTGCGCGTTCACTGACAAGGCAAAAGTGAGGGAATGGTGAAAGACGTGAGAACCCACGCGCATATCATAGCATCCGACGGCCGAGCCTATAAATCATATCAATTTACAGAAAAATCTTCGAGAATTGCTTTAATCTCACGGATAAGAAATTTTGGGATTAAAAAACTTAATTGATAGCATGGGTCTGCCGTGTCAGATGTTTTACATAAATTAATTTAAGGATGTAAATTAAATATTTATGTAAACCCACTGACAATAGTTTAACTCTGTTTGATATGAAGAAACAAAATTAAGATTAAGTGAATTGAAAAATGCCATTTATTTACATTATAAATGACTGTATGAAAAAACACAAAGTATCATGCATATAAACATATAATGCAGAATCAGAAAAATTAAACAATTGAAAATATAATCAATTTTGTTTCAATAGAGATCAAAGGTGGGGTATTACACCTGCAGTGGTACCATAAAACGTTTGATATATTTAAATTGTTTTCAGAAAAAAAACATAAAATATTTTAGTTAAATGGGTTTCCAGAAGAGAGCGTACGGATTCTTATGTTAATATAACAAACTGCATACTCATTATTTCAGGTAAGATGTTATCTTTATGTTTTAATCAAAATCAAATTATTCAAATTATTAAAAAGAGGAAAATGAATCAATTTAGCATTTAGCATCTTAAGAGTAATCTTCGCTAGCGAAGGGTTTCCGATCCAAAGAGTAGATTTCAGATCGGAAACCCTTGGATAGCAAAGATGCTTAAGAGTATTGAGAAAGATAAGGCTGTTTTATTTACATGTATCATAACACTGGTTTGCAAGAGAATTTTCATTATGCAAGCATGTTCGTTTTGTGTTGTGAAAAAAGAAAGAAAAAATTAACAAAGAAACACACTACAAAGACATTATTATATCTCAGATGTGATGCCACGTCTCCCCTTTCTTAAAGGAAGGGGAATTTTCAAAAACAATTGTTGGAAATATATTTTGATTTCTAATAAAGACACTATAGATATGAATAATCGGGTAAACTTGGAAATAGAAATTGTGACTAGACACGATCTTTATACATATTTACTAAAGAAGGGTGGGGAAGGGTAGTGTTTGGTCTTGAATTATCTTTTAAGGCGGCAAGAATTTCACATTGTTTTTTAATTAAAGATTTATTTTGAGTTCTACTCATGAAATATGAAATAATAAATATAGTAAAATATGTGAAATTTGTTGTGTATTCTAAAATATTATATGTTACGATGAAGACTCCAAGGGTTGTTCTAGAAGTGCACGGCCCATGACAATCTTCGTTGTACTATTTACAAGAAATATAGATGAGAACAATATCATATGTAAAACTCTTTATCTCTTTAATTCGTTAATGTCCATTCCATGGAATTTGATAAAATCGTGTTTTTTTTTTTGTTTTTGCACACTTTATATGAATAGAAAATTGAAAACATAGCGCATTAATACATTTTACAACCTGTACTATGCCTTCTCAATAAAACCTTTCAGTATCACCTGAAATTTATTTTGCCAACAATCGTTCCAGTACAATAAATTTGTCAACTTTGAATATTTTTACCACGTAGCACAGCTTTGGCAAGATCGGAGGCTCTGAAGCGCCTATCTACGAAAGCCCTGAAGAGACAAGTCGATTTCTCCAAAAAAGAAAAATCTAAATTGATGGATCTCTCGAATTACACAATCCGTTCCTACAAGTTATAATCACTTGTTTCCTTTATTTATAATTCGGGTTCTCAAATATTACTTATCCGTCGTCACAGTTTACTTATTCGTTCGTTCGATTTATAGTTCGAGAAATCGAGTTACAAAATTCGTTTTCACAAATAATTGATTCGATATGTCGATTTGTAGTTTGAGATCTCTAATTACACAATACTATCAAACTGATCAACATACATG